TATTAGTTAATTTACTTCATTAACTTTGTATTGCCTTATTAGTTAATTTACTTCATTAACTTTGTATTGCCTTATCAAGTACTTTATTTCATTAACTTTATATTGCCTTATCAGTTAACTTACTTTATTAACTTTATATTGCCTTATTAGTTAATGTACTTCATTAACTTTGTATTGCCTTATCAGTTAACTTACTTTATTAACTTTGTATTGCCTTATCAAGTACTTTACTTCATTAACTTTGTATTGCCTTATTAGTTAATGTACTTCATTAACTTTGTATTGCCTTATCAGTTAACTTACTTTATTAACTTTGTATTGCCTTATAAATACTTTACTTCATTAACTTTGTATTGCTTTATTAGTTAATGTACTTCATTAACTTTGTATTGCCTTATCAGTTAACTTACTTTATTAACTTTGTATTGCCTTACCAAGTACTTTACTTCTTTAATATTGTATTGTCTTACCAAGTAATTTGTATCATTTGCTACCTTGTAAAAATACCGAAGTGATGTCAGTTAGAACAATGTGAACACTACATACTTTCACTCCTTTCCTACCTTGTGAAAATACTATCAGTCCTCATCAGGGTAACCAAGCTCTTCTTCTGAAAGTGTTGTTTAAACTTTCAGGCTTAGATCATTTCGTTTGTGATTGTTACATTGCACAGTAGTTCTGGTTTCACTAACCAACATTGTCAACAATCTGATAAGTGACCTGCGCGTAGGTCGTTCAGAACATGACTATATGGTCAACGAACAGAACATCATTGCAATTTCTAAAAGCAAAGTAACAGATCGCATTATCTTTTTAGAGATTCTAGTGAATAATTATTGTTTAACATGCAAAATGATTAATCATTAATTTCGACAATTTTGTAACACTCGATTTTGATTTTGTTAGCAAATTTCTATACAGTTTTGGGAGTTCAATAAAATCAAGTGATACGTTGTTAGGTAACAACTAATGACAAAGATTGTGTATATATAATATTCTAGAGTTATTTCGGTACGACATCAGATGAAGTTCAGAACAAAAAGGCTCTGTGGAAAAAATTTCGGAGTCTTCTAGGAGTACTGAGCTCGTTTAAGGTTAGTAAAATCAGTTCGACTTCTTTTAACTAGTATTACTGTAGTGGAGTTTATCAAAGTTTTATGGTATCCTATGTTTAAAATCAAGCGTTTTTAAACCGTTGTTTCTTTTGCTCTTAATTTCAAGAATATTTTTCATCAATCGCAATTTTGTTCAATAAAGATGATTTAATGACATTTTTAAGTTTAATTTTTTAATTGTAACATAAATTAAATAAATAATAGAAATTGTTAAATAGCAGCACGATAATACTAAGAGTAATCATAAAATTATTTTATTACTTTAAACACGATTACACAGATTACATATTACTTGTTACGCGGTATGTTTAAAGTAACGGTGACATAAACTGACGAAAACTAGTGGGACAACAAATAGTCGTACCTGGTGAAATCTTGAACTTTACATTTCATAAGAATATTAAATTTTTTACTTTTTTGAGTACTTACAATATCACCCCTTATGTTATTATAAATTTATTTAACTTGTATTCAGTATCCCACTTATACTAAGTAAATTTGTTGAAACATTGAGTTCGTCAATATTTCATTAGCTGAATTTCTTCTCTTCTGTTTTGCCCTTTTTGTTTGCTGTATATACATGTTATTCACGTGTTTTTTCAGGTACCACTACTATCACATCCAAGCACACCGCTCTATTTCCATCTGAACGATATATCACACTAGAAAACCCAGGACAACTTCAACAAAGTAGTGTTAAGAAAAACAGAATGTCAAAATAACTCTATCCATCTGTACCTGTTAAGCTCAATTATGAAGTTGAAAGACCATTAAATAGAAATAATTGTTGTTTACTTAATAAATATAATTCATATTTAGATATAAATATCAATCGATAAAGGCGTGCTTATCTTTCTGAAAAGAAAGTAACCATATAATAAAATAGATTTGTTTGTTAATCTTCAAGATTCTTCTAATTACATATGGTGTCCAATAGCTCTAATAAATCAATGTTCTGCAATGAATGATGCAAAAAATGGGCTTTTGAGTTGTTTGAATTTTTTATTTTATTCTAACTGTAATGTATCTAAAATGTGTTAAATCTTATTCCTGACTGAAGCGAAGGCCTCATTCGGAGCAAAATAGGAAATTAATTTATTACTTATTCGGTTTAAAAAATTCAGAATTCAAAACAGTTAAGACATATATAAGAGTAATTCACTGTTATGACGAAATGTACGTTGCTGAATGATTGGGTAATTACATTTGAGACAGGATACTTTACGTTTTACTTCCTAAAATATCTGAACAAGAAATGAAACATGAGCCAAAAGACGATACAACTGACTTCACTACGTATGACTATACAAGAGCTTGATACCTGTGCCCATTTAACATGCTACTATTTCGGAAACTAAAAATAAATTTAATACAATTATAAAAAAAGTTATTAACTTCCATCGTATCTTTGTCTCCAATTTGTTATAATTTGAATATTTACTGTTAATATAGTTTGTCCATTAAAGCTGCCCCCAAGTAGCACAGCGGTATGTCTGCGGACTTACAAC